ATTTCTCATTGTTGTAAAATTTCTAAAGCATAATTTATGATTTTAAGGAAATTCAAGTAAATTTCATAACTTTTAATGTAGTCAATTTTTTTTCAATTCTTTTATTATTAAAACCCATATGTTACCTGCGCATTTAACTAACTTAAATTATTTATAAACCTTCATTTAACCATTTACATATACGACGAAAAAATTAAATTAACATCGCTTTAATAAATTATTTCAATTGTAATTTAAAATATAATCTCCTGTCTCAAATCAGTAAATTCACTTCATAAAAATTCATGAAGAAACTCAAATCAGAAGAAGAGAAAATTACGGAACAAATCTTCATTTCCTCCGAGTGTTTATCCAAGTTGACAAAAGGTCTTTCCCCATTTTTCTAAAACTTTTTTCCCCTCCAACTTCCCCTAAAAGTCTACATATTAGTCATCGATATTGTTTCATTCAATAAATCAACGAGAAAACTGTGCTTTTCAAAGTTTTTCAAGAACAGTAGTAGTAGAAGTATACTTTAATGTTATGAGAAAGTATTGGAACATTCGTCACAATATATATGTTGCTGACGCAAAAGTATTTTTCTTACATATATATATATATATATATATATATATATATATATATATATGAAAAAGACAGAGCAAATATAATAACATATTTAGTCGAAAAAAAGAGAATTGGAAGAATTTTTTTCCAGTCAACGATCATAGTATAACTTTTCCTATTTTTCGTGACTTACAATTCTCGTTTACTGAAACAAAATCACTTTGAAAACTCTCGTCATTACGATGAGAAAAAGAAATTTCTTTTCATTTTATCGCATGACAAACAAACACATATATCTCAAATGAAAGGAGAGAGAAACCTTTTGGGTCATACGATACGATTTTATATTGAACAGGACCATATCATCAAGGCTAATAATTAATTGTCCTATGTCCTCATTCAATATAGAATGGCTTCCAATATCCGGTTCGTGTGTCCAAAACACCAGGAACTTCCGATCACTTTAATCTCTTCACCCTTCAGCGAGTAATTCTAGGAAACTAACGAAATTTCCTGAAGAGGGTATAACCATATAAGGTATATTGAAATACTTTATGAAATTCTTTGATGGCAACTTTTGAGATACTTCATTATTGTTTATCGCTAATCTAATTATAATTTAAATAATTTACGAAGTAATATTCAATCCGGAAAAAGGAATTTTTAATCCACAGAGAAAATGCGCGTATTTTGCATCTTATGAAATTTCTTATGCTAATAATAGCTTTTAATTTAGGGGAGACCGCGGGATGAGAGCAAACATTAAGTGTACTTCAAAAGAAATTTGTAATCACAAGTATAGAATGATAATAAAAAAAATGTATTTTTAATTTTTTACAAAAATGATCGCATTCACACAAAGGAGAAAAAATTGTTCAATTCTTTTTAAGGATGCTTAATGTCTAAAATTAACAAATTCTTATTTGTTTTGCATTGAGCAGAATTTACGAGGCTGAAGTACGCAACGTTTATGATAAACGATTTTTAAAGAAATAATTGTTTAAAATGAAAAATTCTATAATGCTTTGCCTAAAAAATATTTTCTTATAATTTGTTAATTAATGAAAACTACAAGAAATATTTTTTATGCCAAAAATTATAGAATTTTTCAATTTAAAAAATTAATTCATTAAAATCGTTTATCATAAACGTTGCGTACTTCAGCTTCGTCAGAATTTTTATATTAATCACGCTTCTGCCATCTGACGGCGGCAGGAGGTAGTGAACCTGTCATTGTATTATTTTCTTACTTTTTGTTTTGCAAAAAACAATTCGGATTTAGGAAATTTATAAGATAAGGATCTTTGGCTGCTTTTGTAAAAAGTATCCATCTTTCGAGAAAAAAGTATTTTAAAATCAATGTTTATTAATAAATTCTGATTCCCCATGAAACACTGTTTTTACATAAAAACACAATTTTTTCTTAAATCAGGAACATAAACTAATTTTAAAACCTATTGAGAAATGTTTTTTATTCATATAAGAACCATAATCAAAAAGAATTTTTAAGTGTTTGTATATCATTACTGTAATTACGAATTTAATAATACACAGAATGACAGAACCATTTATTTCTTTTCTAAAAACAACAACATCTTTTCAAGACTACAATTGCACTGCATGTGAAAAAGATTTACGATCTTTACAAAACTATTTTTATATCGTTTGACCCTCTGGAATAATAATGTCTGAAACTGTACGGCTTTCTCTAAATCACTGTCACCGTATATACATGTACAATCTACTGTATATGCAAAGAAGTGACACGTAATACCAAAATCCGAGAAAGTTGCATCTAGACTATATATTGTCTTGTTCAGTTGATAGGATGACATTGGTCCTTTTGGGCCTGTACTCACGTAAAGGTAACCGAGCAGAACACATATGTAAACTGCATTTGCTACAAGGTGTATATACATATACAGGAAATGTCTGCTCATTCGTATATGTGTGGAGAGAAACTCCAATCTGTGTATCGCGTCGGGACGCCGACGCCGCACCGGGGTCGTCTGTGAGATCAGATGCGGGGGTTTCCATGACAACTGCAGGTTCTCAACACGTGGTACCGGCATCGAAACTACATACAGTTTTACGTATTAACGAGCCCTCGTGCTCCAATGTGTACCTTCCGGAAGACGCATTATGCGCGTTCGCACTAGGGTGGCATTGCTGACGTACGTGTCACCTTGTCCTCTAACCCCTTTAAAAAGCAAAAAAAATGAAAACGAACGAGAGGAAAGAAAAAGCCCATTGGAGAAAGGTTCAAAGAAACTCGAGGATCCACACAGAAGTCATCCAGTGAAAAACTATTGGGAGATTCGACTTTGTGTCCATGAGGGAGAAAGAGAGAGTTGAAACCCATGATTAGCGGGGTGCATGTTCTTTTTATTTCAAGAGTAACTCAAGAGATTTTCAAGAGGGACGATGAAAAAAAATTGACGGTTCGTTTGTGACGAATTCGTCAGAGTTAAAAACCATTAGCTCTATATATATGTGAACCTTCAAATGATGATAAGCGGTTTGTCAAGCAAGCTTATTTTAAACGGTGTTCTGAATCATGGAAAAAAAAATATATAAATTGTTTTTGTTCACTCTTTTGTAAAGAAAAGGGAAGCTTGTTAAAACAGGTTTCTTTATGGTTTTTCTTACGATTTCTTTATTACCTTCTCGAAATTGACATAGAGGAAGTTGTCGTAATGAGGTTTAGACGTTCTTCTTCAGATTGGAATTACAAATTATTCCTAATAAATTATTATTATTATTATAATTCTAAAATTAGGAAAATCGATAGGAAACCATAAAGGATGATTTTCCTACGCAGCATCGAAACTTTACTAAATATTTATTAATGGTCTAAGTGCAAACTACCGAATATTTAGATGCAATATTTAGAGCGAAAGTTGACTAAACATGTAGGTAATGTTGGGCGTGAAAACTAAATTAAAGTACCTACGGCTGCGCAATATATGTTTTGTCCTCTCAAATATGGTGCTTAATGTATATATTTGAATATTAATCGTTTTCCATAAAGATTTTCAGTAATATTTCATTGACGATTAGTGAAATTCTCTACTGTTGTAAAAAGTCAAATCTGTTTCACCGATTAATAATAATCCAGATGTATCTATTTTAATCAGTAAAGAAGTCTATTAATCTTCAGTTAAATGTGACTGCAAAAAGAAGTATCTTATTTTAAGATGTTTTCGTAGCGTTTTCAAGTCGCATCTATTAAACATCTTAATGTCTTAAAAACGCTACCAAAACATCTGAAAATAAGATACTTCTTTTTGCAGTGTTTGGAATTTATTTTTTTTATTAATTTTGATATCTCCCCGAAATTAAACATAAATATTTGAAATATTTTTATTATACATATCTATTAATTTGGCTCTTCCCCGTTTTCATTATATAGAAAACACTTTAGAAAAAGGAAGAAGGTAATAAATAATCAGATACTGGTTTCCCAGTTTACGACAATTTTATTATGCGAGCGCACAATTCATTATTAAGCGAACACAATATCTCTTTTCCTTCCAAGTTTGGTGGGTATACTTTGAAAGTGCAAGGATTTTCTCGAGATAGATTTAGTGTTTCGTTTAAGAGGTTCTGCATGGAAGAGAAGTGTTTTGTATATATAGTGAGAGTTCAGAATATTCCTTACACGGACCGTTAAACGATAAGGGAATCCTTTAAATCCTTTTACACGAACATAGTGCGAAGAATATTACATTCTCATAAACATAGTGTATATATATATATATGTACTTGCTTTTAAAAAAATAACAACTACCATTTATTTAAATACCCATATTATAGACCATAAGCTACAAATTAAGATGTATAATAGATAACGTTCCATCATAATAAAACAAATTATTTTCAATTTTTTGACGCGTGAAAAAACAATAATTTACAAGATTTAGGTTCAATGCAGAAAAGGAAGAATTGATTCTTTATAAGTAATGTAAAACGCAATTTCAAGGCTAGTTTATTTTCTTATTTCTTCATTTAATTAACCAAGCGTAAAACGTGACCTGAATTTTATATATTTTTTATGCGGTGTAATAATAATTTCCGTGGTTTTGTTTCGATTTATATCTATAATATTGATTTAATCAGGAAAATATTTTATTGCCTTTAATTTGTAAAAATTCAAGACTATTAATTTCTCGATTTATCATAAAATCTAAAGAATATTAATAAATTGAAAAATTAAAAATAAAACTGAAGCTTCGTGTAAAAATCCAATGTATATATGTTTTTAAATTTTGTCTCTGCCAAATATATTCCGTTAGTCATCTTCATTATGCGATTATATATCGATACATATAACTCATCACACATACTTTGTGTAGATTATTAATTAGATGTAAACAAGTAGGACATTGTTTAATAGAAATTAAATTCCTCGAGCGTTGAGAATTAATGTGTTCCAATTTTTTTTTCTGCTTCAGGAATGACGTCTTCTTGGAACCGTATTTGCAGCAACACGGAACTGTTCAGGTCGTTGGATCTCCAAGTACACCGCCACCAAATCCACTTCAACATCAGCTTACGCAGCTACATCATGTACAGGTATTGATTTAAAAAAATGTTCTCTCTTATTTTAAAAAAGAATCCATTAAAATTATCCCCCTCTGAATATTTATTATTTATATGCTTCATTTCCGCGATATAACGTACCATTTTATCATGTATGAGTTGTAATCTGGTACTGTGCCTTCCAAACCCACGCTGGAATTATATATGACTCATGTGGGTAGTACTTTTACTTGCATACATTATTAGGAAGCACGCAAAATATGGTATTACAAGTCCGCTATTTCAAAATGGTCCTTTTCAAAATGATAATCTTCTATATTCCTTCATATGTTTTTATAATAATTTGTATACGCTATACTTTCATCTTTTAGATTGGAAAGTCCCTTTGTTGTCTAACAGAAAAATTTGATTTTCTTTTGCTTATAGTTTTGACAAATATTTTTTATTTTATGATTTCACTTTGAACTCTTTGTGAAAGTCTATTTTTTTTTTTTTGTGTAAAAAAAGCTGTATTCTGTTGCGAGTGAAATGTAATTTGAAATGCAGACTGATACAAGGGCAGTTTAGACTAAAGGGATTAAATGAGGACGTGAGATGCACACTGAGTACGTTCTGCTAATTGCGAATCCCATGATTACTTGTCATCAGAAAGTTTACCGACTTTGTTCACGATTTTAACGAAACAAAGGAAATTTTCAAATAAGAATAATCACAATTCTTTATAAAGTTAATGTCAAACAAAAAAAAATTCTGATATTGAGAAGCTCATTTTATTTAATTGAAATTTTATATGACAGATTCGCTCTTTCGACAAATTTTCATTTTATATAATTTCCATTTTTAAAAATTGATATTTAAGATAATTTTTATAAAACAGAATCTTTCTTAAATCGAATTCTACTAATTTGAATATTCACTTAACAGAATTTCCCGTGTTTGAATAAATAATTAAATTTCTATTTAACTAGAAAACTGTTATTGGTTAATTTTAAAATTCTGCAATGTTTCTGCTGGATATTTATTCGACTTTTTAGAATTGAGACTCAACGGGACGCATGATTATATTCTAAAAATCATTTGTTAGAATATTCATTTTATGGAATGTCATTTGTTATAATTATTTTTGAGCCGAATTTTTATTTGTTCGAATTAGTATTTTGCAGAATTTTCATCAAGACGATTTTCTATATTACAGAATTTTTATATAACCGAAAACTCACTTCACACTCTCTAAATCTGAATCAGTGAAATTCCACTGATTCTCAGTCAAATTTGACTGATTCAGTTTTAGAGAGCAGAATTTTTATTTGCTCAAATTTTTATTTAACATAAGGTAAATGTCCCAATTAGTGTCCTACTAAGAATGTAACTTTAGTTAATAAAGAAAAAACTCGATTTATATTCTTCCATGGAGATAATTTTTTACATTAATATAAAGGTAATCATTTTTTGAGCAGAAAATAATTTTTATTTGAGTATTATTATCAAAATATTTTAAATTTTCTTTTTTTTTAAAGTGATGTTATTGTACCAATTTGTGTCCGACGAATTTTAGGTTGCCCCTATTTGTGACCTGAGGTGTACCAATTAGTACTCAGCAGCCATATTTGTGTCAAGAAATGTAACTAAAGGAAATAGATGTTCACTATTTGGTACACAAACATAAAAATATGCTTTGTCCTAATTAGTGTCTTTAAAAAATACTCGATGTTCTTACACTGTCACATTTTTCACATATTTAAATAATTTTAGGTTAAAATATAAAAACTATCACAATAATTTTCAAAATTAAGAGTTATAGAATTAATAAATGAAGTATTTTTCAGAAAAATGTAATAATTTCTTTAATTAAAGTTGTGTTATTGTATGTAAACACAAATAGGATCATTCTCATTTTAGTGTACGTATTTGTATTTTTAGGTATACATAAAAATTAACTTACCTTTGCATGAAAAAAAACCTCCAAACAGTAAAACTATATTATCTTGAATTATTTACTTAACAATTTAATTCAATATTAGACGTTAATTATCCTGTGCTAACAACATTCTGTTAACCTGTCTAATGACAACCTTTATAAGATGGCGTCATACTTTCCTCGTTTTGGCAGAGAGGGCGGCAGTGCAAATTTTCAAAATTTAATTTATAATTATTAAAGAATACTAAGACCCTAAATGCAAATCTACACGAAAGATATATAATGTAATATTCAAAAAATATTTTTTTGAATATTTTTCTAAATTGTTTTTTATTTTATTTCGTGCATACACGGAAAGAAATTTAGTAGCAATATTTGATAAATCTGATAGGAAATTTTAGTATTCTCTTTTTCAAACGCGGAACATTTGGGTTTGATAACGAAAATCGGTATATTTTTACCAATAGTCTTTTTAGTAAATATATTCCAGAAATTGAAATTATTATTTCGTAAATTGATAAATTTATACGAAAAACCAGAAGTAAGTTAAACCGACGCGCACTTCGTTATTTACTAAATTTATATGAAAATTTGGAAAGATTATTTCGAAATTTGTTAAAACTATACTAAAAATTCGAACACTGAGAAAAAGAATTATTCGTTTCAAATATAAAGATCAGTTTAAAAGTTTTTGTTTAACCCAACACAGTTTTTATGTTTAATTTTAATATATAGAAAATATTTTCTACTTTGGCTTAAAATTATTATTTGTTTGAATAATTATGTTTGATTCAAACATATTTTCTGTTTGGCTTAAACTGAAAATATGTTTAAAATTTTTATGTTTGATTTAAACATAAAAATTTATTATGAATAAATTGAAATCAACCATAATTTATGTTTAAATTAAATATATTTTCACATTGAATCAACCAGAGAATATATTAAATTTAAACATAAATATGTTTGACTGTATAACAAAGCTATTTTAAGTTTGGGTTAAACATATTATGTTTGAATCAAACATATCGTTTTCTCAGTGAAGTGGTTCAGTCGTAACAGATGACGGCAGAAACACCAATAGATTCTACGCCAAAGTTTTATCTCTTTCTCATCTCGAGGATAGACGAGGATATGAACTTTTAAATGCACACACACACATACACCGCATTGTTTTACATCGATTGGCTTATTTTTATTCCTAACCTATACCAACGATAATACGTATAACATTCGCAGAATAACGCTTCATATACAAATTTACGCTCATGTGAAAAACTGATGTGACCATTCTTATATACTAACCAGACATATTTTTCACCGCTTATGAGAAAGGTGAAATTATATCAAAACATGTTTAAAAATATAAATAAAAATCATTATTTATTGGGAAATAATTAAATATTTTATTATTTTTTGAAGAACAATTTTTTTTACTGATTTATTGTAAAATATTCGAAATTAATTATATAAAAGAAATTCAGGTCTGTATCAAGATAATGGTAAAAAGGGGCTTGTCTAAAGAGCTTCGTCAGTCTTCGTTACCACTCGGTGAGGATCGGGCAATTCCGAACGTTCAACTTCGGCAAATTTCGTCGAATCTCGTTAACTTTGATATTTCTTTTTCAATTTTCATATCAAATATATCAAAATCTGAAATAATTATATCATTTTATAGAATTCTAATTACGAAATTTGAAATATTTGGTTAGAAAAATTGATAAAGAGCTTATTAAAATTTGACATTTTTGTGTTTCAATAAAAAGATTTCAGATTTCGTAAATATTATATCAAATTTTCTTTCCAACTATATTAAATATTCTTATTTTAATCTCAATCATTCTTAAAAATAGTATCGAAAATCGTTATCATGCCAAAATGTTCCGCAATTGTAACCAAATATACTAAAAAGTAACACCATAATATCAAATATTGCTACAAACTTTCGTTCCGTGTAAATGTGCAAGTGGACACAAATTGGGACATGGTCACAAATTGGGACATTTACCTTACTAGGCATTTTAAAGAATTTTTATTGGGTAGAATTTCATTGCATACATAGAGAAAAAAGAATTGTTGTAGTTACTAAAAATTAAGTCCACACAACAATTCCGGATTGTCAATATTGAACCAGCGCTTCTATTTGTTTTTGGCACATAAAAAAATTCTTGAAATGGTATTGTTATTGAAACTATTCAGATTGTTAGGTGAACAAACAGAATTGTTTGATGAACAAAGAAAATTGTTATGGAACAGTTAAGATAACAAAACTAAATTGTTAAATCGTCAATACAATTTGTTTTATTAACAAAGCTTTGATCCGTCTAATATACAATTTGTTCAGTTTCTTCGCCTTCTAAAATAATCGATAGCAGATTTCCGTAGGTCATATCACCAGTTTCATTTGCATTAAAATCTGTGGAACATGCAGCTTCTGAATCAAATTCTTTAACTTGAAACCAAAAAAAAAAAAAAAATTTGTTTTTTTTAAGATGCAAGGTTAAGGTTCAATAGTAACCGAGTATAACTTACCGATAAACGATGAAATTGTCTCTTCATCCATTCACTATACTTGCAATAGATTTCTTACTTTAACCGGAGTCATTATTTAACAGCACTTTGTTATTTCTTTTAAAAAAACTAATAATAATAGCAAAAGTGGCACATGTGCTAGAAGTTTGCTTCTGCAACTGTACAGAATTGCAAACTGAACAAAATTGACAACAAAAAATGCGTATTGTTGTTAAAATAACATACATTTGTATTGACAGCAATCCGAATTGTAATATTAACATTTTGAATTGTAATGTCAACAAATCTACTGACAACAATCCAAAAATTGTTTGCACAACATTCCCATTTTTCTCCATGTAGAATTTTCATTTGTTTGAATTATTATTTGATATAATTTCCATATAACCGATTTGTCATACTACAGAATTTTTACTTAACCAAAAAATCATTTAACGGGATGTGAGAGAAACCCACGTGACCTAGTATGGGAAAATGTGTTTTGCAATATTCCAACTTTCTCTAAAATGCAAAAAGATTTTAGGCTAAAATTTTGAGGGTTGATAGATTTGGGTACAATGCATCCCGCTGTTCTCCTGACAAAACTTAATTTTGCGTTAAATTATTTAAAAAGTTTAATTTTTAAACGAAAATGACAAGAAAGATGGCGGCGCATACACAGACGTTGCTTGAGTGTGTCAGTGCTCCAGTAAACAGCGCCAATTCGATCGAGTGGACGCTGAATGAACTATGATTAAATACATTATTTTACTATTTATTGCTTTATTTTTATTATTTTATACGTAAATGAGGAGAACAGCCCTATGCTTTGCACCCTCCTTTATCAAATCTTGAATATTTTAACCCGAAATCATTATTTATTTCAAAGAATGTTGGAATCCACAAGAAACGTCTATTGCCCACATGGCCTTAACAGAATTTCTAATCAATCGAATCTTCATTTGTCCGAAATTGTAAATTGCCGAACAAACAATCAACAAAAAGATTTCGGCGCGATTTTTAAAATGAACCAATCATAAATTATCCATAAAATTGTGATTGGTTAATTTTAAAAATTGCGCCGAAATTTTTCTGTTGATTATTTTTTTGTACATTTAAAATTTCAGACAAATGAAAATTCTATCAATTAGAAATTCTGTTAAATGATTTTTCAGTTAAGTATAAATTCTATAGTATAAAAAATCGGTTTAATAGAAATTATATCAAATAATAATTTGAACAAATGAAAATTCATTTGAAAGAAAATTCTATGCAACGAAAGTCTAGCCAATAAAAATTCTTTAAAATGCCTATTATATGTTAAATGAAAATTCGAGTAAATAAAAATTCTGTGAAGTGAATTTTTGGTTATATAAAAATTCTGTGATATAGAAAATCATTTTGATGGAAATTCTGCAAAATACTAATTCGAACAAATAAAAATTCGGCTCAAAAATAATTATGACAAATAAAATTCCATAAAATGAAAATTCTAACTAATGATTTTTAGAACATAATCATGCGTCCCGACTAAACTGGATCTGAATTTTAGCATTTCATATGCTAAAATGTAATGTAATATATTTTACACTGAAAACAATTTTATTTGATTCAAATAATCGGTTACTTGGCTATTATCAAATAAATATTTATTTATATCAAATAAATTGTTTTATTCTTACAGTATTGTTTAAGTATCAACGAATTAAACATTTAGATTTAAATACAAAATTTCTTCTTGATACTTTTGCGACAAATTTTTCAAGATCTTTTTAATTAAATAAATTATTTTGTTTATGAAAATATATAAATATGTTGAATAATACGTTTTGGTATTATTTTTACAATAAAATCTGTAATAAATTAAATTAATATTTTGTCAGCGAATAAAAATATTTTTCGCCATCTCGATGGATTCCTTTATAAAAAAAGAAAGAAAAAAAAGAAACGAGGATTGTTTGCTTTTTATAACGCGAGAAGCACACCCATGCTTTTTTTATTAAAATTCGAATGCCTGTTTGCTGTGTGATATAAAATGACTATAAAAGTTTGTAATCCAGAAACAAGATGCAACACAAACAGCAGAAACATAGAATGGTCGGTCGAAAGTCAAAGTCGTGAATCGTGAAGCAAGTAAATATGGAAATTCCAGTAGAGTCGGCCCTTAATCCTCAATTCAGGGGTGTAAATCCTCCCTCAGGAATACTCGGTGACAATACACTCTAATACCGCATTATATTCCCTGTAGGGTTTTACGATTGGACCACTGGGGGTTATCTCAATTTGCAGTCCATGCGAAATTCTTGATTTAGTTTTAATGGCAGTTACCTGGACTACTGAATCCGCGAGTACAGCTTCGAAATTTGCTTTACTTGATTCCTTTTTTTTTGTTCCTATTCTCGATTCACTGGGCCATGAATTATTCGATTTTCACGCAACAAAGAAAAGTGGATTACAGTTCACTATAGTACAACCAATAGAAGGAGGATTATGCGTCCCAATTTCCAATATTAAACTTCGGTTTTAAATAAATTACATATATTTTTTAATTTCAAAGTTCCAGTATTTATTCGTGTCCAAGATTTTTCATTTTTTTTTGTCTTTTGCTTCAGCGCAGCCAGAACGATTTCACGAAATCATTTTGATAGATAGTGATTGATCAAACCGTTTTATATATAGACAACCTTGGTCCATGATCCTTTTTTTAGTCCTCCTTTAAAAAAAAAAAAAAAAAATGACGATTCATCAAAATTGAGGCTTATCGCGTTGAAATCTTGAAAGATTTATCTCCAAAGAAATTTCAATTTTTAGCAGAGTTGACAATTTAAGGATTGATTTTCAGTATAAATTTTTATTCACTGCAATTACGATCGATATTTTTTTTGTTTTTGATGTTTCATAATTATATTTTTAGCATTTCTTTATATTCAATTTGTCGAAAATTCTCTTCATACACTTCAATCAGAATTGCTAAATGCCGTTTGACCGATGATTCATCAAACGCTCTACATTTCTACGCGCGTTGCATCCCCAACTTCATTAGCATAGAAATGATTTTTCACACACATGTTGAATCTTTACGTAATTGTGAAAATTAATGGTCAACTACACGTCACTATTAAATTACAATTTATTATTCCAAGATTTGCATAGATATTTGATTTTTCCTCCCGCATATTATTGTCTTTTGTGTCTCGCCAATTAATTCTAAATCACTTATGAGATTGACGAATTTATATATGATATATATATATAAATTACATAATTGTAAAATGTAAAATCTAAAGTCTAATTTTATTGATTTTAATTTAAGTAAATTCATTTATCTCTCTCGAAATTAAAACTTGATTTCACTTGTAATATTGTCTTGATGACTTTTGTAAATCAAACAAATTTTTACCGAAAGTGTATATATAATCCACAAAATCAAGTTTAAAGAGTCAATTCTCTTATAAGGATTTTAGAGATGACATGATACTTTCCAGTTCTCGCACCTGAAGTTGCAATCTGAATTCTTTTTTTCTTTCTCTCTATGGATGTCGAGATGTAAGTATAAAAGATGGTAAAAAGACCATTTCGCGAAAATTGCCATTCTTATCTGCCCTTTATGTTCCTCGTCTAGACGACCAATGCGAATAAAAGTATGGGGAAACTCGAAATTCTTCTCATTTTTTTTCACGCCTAACACGACATTGACCAAAAGGAATTATTTTTCGGATTTTAGAGAGGAAATAAAAACTTATCAGAATCTACTCTTTTTCACAAATATGAATATACACATATATATATATATATATATATATATATATATATATATATATATATATATATATGTGTGTGTGTGCTTTTAAACCTAAAAGTGCAAAATGCCATTTATAACTGATATTTTACTATAATAAAGGACCTTTCACTTTGGAGTCTCAATATTGTGCCATATATAACAGTTCCATTATATTGAAATTTATTCAAAAAATTTATTGCAATTCGGACATTAAGTTTTTTTAAAACTTTTTTTATATTATTATAAATATAGGTAGGTATATTTAAGGAGAGGGACAGCATTGAGTATATTTAAAAATAATAATATATTATGAAAAATTTTTAAAAGTATTATTATTTTTCACTGACAATTTTTTTTACGCTTTTCTCATGATTCTGAACATTCAATCGTATGGATTTTAAAAATTTTCAATTTTTTAAAAAATAATTTTTTTTTTTAAATAAAAAAAAATTTTAACATGGTAAAAGAAATACTTTTTTTAATTTTTTAAAATGGAATATGTTTTAAGTTCCAAAAATATAATTAAAAAAATTGACATATTTTTATATACTTTTTTTATTATATTTAGAATAATTTTAGATCCTAAATCAATGACAGAGAAAAAATTAGCGTATATCGACAATATATATTTTAAAGGGTTAAAATTTAATTGGTCCCTCCTCTTAAATATATAAGAGAAACAATCATCTAATATTATTAGATTACTAACCAGTATACAGGGTGATTTTTATGTTTCGGACCCCCTAAAATTTTTTGTTTAATTCCATTATTTAAAAAAAAAAAAAACGAACAAAAATGAGAATTAAAAAAAAAATTTTATTTTTATGGTTCTTTATGGACTGCGGGGAAGATATGTAAATAAATAAATAATTTAATTATTATAAATTATTATAAAATTTAAAAAAGAATAAATTTGTTTCTCTCAAAGTTTTAATTTAATTTTCTAAAAAGTTTATTTTTTAATTTCAGAGCGAAGAATCTTTATCGTCGGAAGGTTCTGCAACCTCGCGTGTATCTTCAGCTTCGACGGAAGATTCGGGAAGCGAAGTGGCCTGCAACATTACTCTTATTGAAAGACTCATTCGATCTCATCCCATCTGGTTTCTCCCAGGAATTCAAAGAGCCGGTGCCTTCCACTTGTTGCAGGGAAAGGAAGAAGGGGTCAGTGTTTATTTTATCAAAAAAAAAAAAAAAAGAAAATTTCATAAAACCGACTTATTTGTCAATCGCATAAAAAACACAAACCCCTAACAATTTATCAATATGGAAACAAGAGTTATTTATGACAATTTTCCAGTACGTCAATTTCAAAAAGCTGAAATTAAATATTGGAAAAATTTTAAAGAACTAAAATTTTCAATATTTATTTTTTTAAATCAAAATCACCTCAAGTAACACTTTTGAAAATCGTCCGGTTTGACGTTATAAACTTTAGATCATAATAAATTCGAATAAAAGCTGAAAATTCTATCCAATGGAATTCAATATGAAATGAAAATTCTATAACTAATGAATTTTAAAGGTCATTTATGCGTCCCCGATAAAGAAACCAATTTACAAAGTAAAAAGTTCAATCGTACCACAAACCATTTTGGAAGACAAGTAACTGCACCTTTTGAGACGTTTTCTATAATGTTCAGCAATTTGGCAAGCGTTCCACCTTACTTTAATATACCATAAAGACAGGGACAATCGTAAGAACTGAAATACTAGGTATTTAATTTTTGGCATAAACCCAAACACACCAGACTTACGAGTTCTCCCTGAGACTCCTATTTAAATGCGATTCATGTTAAAATTTCGATTTCAAATTCACTCTGAAACGAAACTCAAGATGAAATAACTTGTATTTTTTAATAAAAATTTTCCTCAATAAAAAAAAATTTTCTATTCTAACTACAATATATTGTCATCAAATATAAAATATCTCTTCATTTTAGTCAATTTATTAATATTTTTATTACTTGGAATTTAGTTCAATTATTTGTCTTAATAACCGAGTTTCAAGACTATTCTCAATGAAAGAAAAAAAAAGAAAAATAATCATGCGGGTTGAAAATGTATGTCAATGCCTATTAACTTGACAGAGAGTGCGAAAGAGCTTGTTTCTTTAAAACAATGGTTCTTATTGTGGGAAATCACTTACGAGCACAATATTACGTAACTGATTGTCAAGGGAATTTAAAAAAAAAGAATTCAAGAGACTTTATAAACCCTCCCATTAATGTTTCTTTGTTTTCACCGAATACATTATTGTCAACACCTCTTCAGTCACTTTCAATTTTACTTTTTTTTTTTCATCAAAACATCTACCTACATATTATTAAAATCTATATCCAATCTGAAATAGATATACAGTAATTTCTTATTTTTATTTTTCTTTTGTCTAAAATAAACTCTTTTTTTCAGTAACCAAAATTCTAATTACAAAAGTGAAAACTCCACACAAAGTGTGCACAGTGTGTTTTTTTGCATACACATACATTTTTCCACTATAAGTAAGCACAAAAGCCATCGTAATCAGCGCAGAAATGCCTACGGATGAGGTGAGGCATTGTCGGTGTATTGTTCCCTGGTATTCATTGTTTTCCGGCTTCAACGATTGTTATAATCCCCAAGTCAGAGCGAATGCCATATAGCCAAAAAACAATGCATTTCGTAATTACTCTTTTCAATCAAGAAATGAGACCATCCAGAAAAAAGTTCTCGAGCAAAGTTTATTTAAAAAAAAAAGAGAACCTCTTAGCGAAACAATTGTTTACTAAAACACACTTGAAAACTTCATAGGAAAGTTCAATCTATTCGGAAAATTTTATTTGCAACACGAAAAAAAAATCTCGAATAAAGTTTCTGGCAGAACATTTTTTAATTAAACACTCTGTTTAAATATTACAATTCAAAGGCGAAATTCAAACTATAAAAGTCAATCAATAATTATTTTTTTCTTTAAATAATACCATTGTTCTAAAAAAAAAATTTATTTTTATTAAAAAATTAAAATTAAATTAAATTAAAAATTTAAGAAAAAATTGAAAATAATTTCAAGTCTGAAAAATATTGCAAAAATGTAACTTTTATTTTTCTCTCTTTTTGCAGAATTTCGTCGTTCGACAATCCAGTCAAAGCGACACAATGGCACTTTCCGTCAGACTACCACCTGGAAAGGGACCTTATATCGAACATTACCTCATTCAATCTAACAAAGGAAAACTCAGTTTAGAAACAAGTGAAAACAGATTCGACAATATCCCTTCACTCATCGCGCACTACTCACAGTGTTGGTGAGTCATGTGTTTCTATAAAAAAAAAAAAAAAAATCATCGTGTTTCACTTCAGACTACCTAATTAAAAAGAGGGATTAAAAAATAAATTTTAAAAATATCTTCAATATAAATACACAACCTACACGTGAGATGAAAATTAATGAAATTTTTAAGAAAAAAAAAATCGTCCTAAAACTGAATTAATAAAATTTTAAAAATATAATATTTTAATAAAATAATTATTTATCATTTTTTTTGTCGATTTTTGTTTATTTTAAATTTGTTTTTAGCTTAATTTATTTATTTACTTAAATTAAAATTTAATAATAATACTTGAGTAAAATTCAACTCAAAAATGTAGTTTCAATTTTTTTTTTAAATTAAAGAAAAATTGTATTATGAAAAACTTTTTTCTCCAATTTTATAATCGTTTTGTAAAATTGACGAAAATTTGATAATAAATAATAAAATTTCAATAATAATTTTCACAAATGATTCTAATTTGCATTGTTCGGTAAGCAGTGACGAGTTACCAGTTCAATTAACACTTCCAAGAGCAATGAGAGAAGCAAAAAATCGACAACAACTCTCATCACTTGCTTTGTTAGGACAAGAATTTTGGAGATATCCAATGGCAAATCCTAAACCACCAGAAAGTGGGAGCAGTAACACTTCAAGTTTAAGCAGTTTTCATTGTACGTTTCTAATATTTAACAATAATTTGTACTTAGAATTAAAAAAAAATAGAAATTGATTAATTTCTCTGTTAAATAAATATAATTAATAATTATTATATATTTAATTACAAATTAATTAAATAAATATTAATCACTATTATTATATTTTCAGGCAACAACAACAATATTATCTCAACTCCCACATCCGAAAGTATTATACTCAACTTAGCTCCTATTTCTTCTCAGGATACAGGTAAATATAATTTATAAATAATAGGAAAAATAATTGAAATTAAATTGCATTTCAATTAACAATTTAACAAAACCAAATTAAAATTGAAAAAAAAAATTTTCTAATTAAATAATCAATTTTTAATTCCCTTAAGCCAAAGATTCAAAAAAAAAAAGTGTAAAATTACTAGAAATGAATAATTGTTAACAAAATAGAATAATTGATTGGATAATACAAAATTGAATTTATTTTTTTAGGGGGCTCATCTCCAACGAGTTCAGTAACGACGTCAACCTTTGCCTCATCACCGCCACGTCAACCGAGGCCAACACCGCCAAACACTTTAAACCTAACGACGTTTAATGAACCATTCGATACCAAAAAAGATAGGCTGGAGAAACTTTCACCAAATGAAAATTTATCTCAAAAGCTTATTTCGCCCAATTTGGTTCAAAGCGTACGCTGCCCTTCGCCTGTGATTCATAATGTAGAGAATAATGTTCTTAGCCCAATGGAATCAAGTACAATTATTAACGAAAGAACTAAAAATGTCGAAGTTCAAACAAGCAAATCAATAATCACTGAATTTACAAGAAGCAATAAATTTTCCATGAATTCACCATCATCAAATTTTCATCAGAATTTAACTAATTTCAATAATCTCTCGAGCACAAATTCGCCAATACTTCCGGAAATGAATAAGAATCTCATTGACAATAATCATCATCAAGGTTCAACACAGATTATTAAATCACCACCACCACCACCGCCAAGATGGGCGAAGCCGGGGATCAGTCAAAGTCAAAGTAATTTCACGGTCACGACAACAGTGACCTTCAACGTCAATCAGAGTAATGATGTCTCTTCATCGCAGGTAATTTTTCACTATCAAACATATAATACATTTTATATAAGTGAAGAAGAAAAAAATTCAAAAGAATATATTTCAATAAATTCCAATGGAAAATAAATAAATTTCAATTGAATAAAATTTCGCTGAATAAATTGCCTTTTTAAATTAACAAAATATTTGCTGAGTTAATTTTCCTAATCTATAAAGTCACTCGAATAAATTGCTTCTTTTCTACAAGACAAGATACAAAAAGAAAAATATTTTAACAAATGTCTATATTGATCGGTAATATTAATAGTAAACAAAATAAATTAATAAAAATAATAACAAACAAAATATATTCTACTTCTTTGGATTTTATATTATAAACAATTAAATTATTTAAATCTTGTAAACTTCCTGCATGAATTTTTTTTTTCTAAATGTTGCAGGTGATTTACTATGTATTTTTACTGACACAGGCCTCGGATCGACTTTAAGGCATAAAAAAAGTCGTTTTAGTCGATTTATATTCCAAAAAAAGTCGAAAAAGTCGATTTTATTATTTTAAAAAAATTTAATTGGTTAATAAATATTTTAGATTAAATAACTAAAATTATTAGATATTAAATTCATTTTATTAATTCTGTAATAAGAATAATTCTATAAGAATATTATCAAGAAAATTTATTTCGAATATTTCAAAATCGATCTAATTACAAGACAAATTTTAAAAATTTTATTTAAGTAGGACAAATTTCTAAAAAAAAAAATTTTTTAAATTCCATTTTTATGATTTTTTGAAGTCTGATTTAAGCAATTTATTCGAAATAAAAAATTTCAGGCAATATTTTAATCAAGTTTTACAGATTTTAAAGTGTTTCTTTTTTTAACAATAATTTTGGAAATGTTAAATTTTTATAAAAAATTGAATTTCAAAAGATTTTGTTAATTATCATATAATAATTAAATTTTATAAAACTAAAAATAATTTATTAAATAATTTTAGATAACATTTTTTAAAAGTAAATGAATTTTAAAAGATTTAAAATTTAGATTTTTGAAATTAATTGAACTTCAAGTGAGTTTTAAATTAAAACTTTTGATATTTGTTACTAAAATGTTTTTTAGAAATTGCAAACAAAAATATAATAATTTGAAAACTTTTTAAGCGAAAAATGGTTTCATATAATTCCTATAGATAAATTTTCGAAGAATATTTTAAAAATCATTAAAAATAATTGAATATTTCTATCTATTTAGATTCTATGTGCCTCAACGATCCCCGAGACATGTTCCTCTATTTAAATTACATTTTGTCAGAACTAATTATTCGAATAATTCGGTGATTAATAGATTGAGTCGTGAGGCAAATCAACATAATAGTAACCTTAATTTTTTCGGTGTTTCAATCAACACCTTCGTCCGAGAGTTACAATACTTGATATACCACGATAATAATAATGCTAGTGTGGCCACACAATAATTACTGTATTTCTTTTTCTGTAATATTCAGTACTCTGTACTAATGGGCAGTGTAATTACTACCCGTCTAAATTGAAATAAATAAATAAATAAATTTCAGGAGAGTTATAATTGAAATGATTAAATTTCAAAAAATTTTAGAAATTTTTAAATTGAAATTTTTGAAAATAATTAAATTTCAAAAAATTGTGTGAAATTTCAGACAATAATTATAATAAGAGAAATTTTTAGTGATTTCTGTTGATGAAGAATTTATAAGCAATAACATAAAACAAATTGAATTCCAAAAGTTATTAATTGAAAAATGCTTTCACATAATTGAATTTTCGAAGAATATTATAAAAATCATTAAAAATAATTGAAATTTTTGCAAATAATTAAAGTTGAAGTGATTTTTAATTAAAAATTTTTGGTAATTTTACTTGCTAATTTTTATAAAATTATAAACAATAACAATTATCAAATTTTATAAAAATTTTAATTTAAAAATAGTTTATAAGATAATTGAATTTGTGAAGAATGTTATAAAAATTATTAAAAATAATTAATTTAATGAAGAATTTTAGTTAAAAATTTGTTAAATAATTGAAATAAAAAAGATCTGCATTGTATACTAAAAAACGTACTTTGTTTAAAACTTTTGTAAAAAAAAATGTAAAAAAAAGTCGGAAAAGTCGCATTTTATTAAAATAAGTCGAAAAAAAGTCGTATTTTTGAAAATAAGTCAGAAAAAGTCGTATAATCCGAGGCCAGTAACTGCGATAATAAAATTTCAATTCACTAATAATATTGAACCTTTTTTTAAAAAACAGCAAAATACACCATCGGATCCAAATTCATCTCTACTATCACCACAAAGTGGAACATCAACAAAATCATTGTCCTCGAATCTCTCATCAAAATCAGCATTATCACCAACAACACCTGTACTGTCTCCAACATCAAAACTAGTCTGCTCAAAAGCACCGAGTATCATGTCACCGACAACACCCTCGGGGACCTGTAAAATCAAACGTCGAAGAGATCGTGAGGCAAGAAAAAATTCTCAACACTATCAGGAATCAGATATTCTTGAATCATATTACAGAAGTTCACCGGGAGATAAAATTTCCGACTATGAGGACATTTGGAATACGACAGATCAATCGAATCATTCGACATGGTGTCCTAATGAAAGACTACCAACGGTAGCTCCTCGCGTTATTATTGTTGATTCTCAACAAGTCGATCGTCTCAAGAATTCTAACGATCGCTTAGTAACTCCTGAGAGAGTTGTTACAACTCCTGGGGAGAAATCAAATTGTAATGAAAGACTAACAGCTAATGATCAGCTAGTACCACGAAATGAAAGGCTTGTGATTCGTAATGATAAATCCGTGGGAAATGAAAAGCTGAGTTATAAAGAAGTTACTAGTCCCGAGTTCACTAGTTTCAAACCAATTTTAGAAGCCAAGAGTCCAGACAGTGGATCATTGGAAGAAGCGGTAATTGGAAAGAAACCAGATCTTTTATCGAGAGTTTGTAAGTATTCATGTTCATGAAGTTTCGAACTTTCATATACATCGAATTCATTTCAAATTAGGTAGGCTGAATTTTTTCGGTGCTGAAAATTTATTTCACCTAAGAAATTTTGTTTTTTAATGATTTTTAAACTATACGTATTTTTTTATTTAGCTAAAAAATTTTTTTTGGAAATTTATAACAATTTTAATTTTTCAAGTCCGAAATGTCATTTATCTTAAAATTAATATAAAAAAAATCTTTCAAGTGTGTCATATTTTTTAGACAAATTGGAATATTTAATTCTTTCTTTTTAGGTCTGAAAGAGCTTTCACTCTTTTAATATGAATAAAATTTGAGCCAAAAAAATGGTCGGTTTTTTAAGTAATTTCAATTTAAAGTTTTTTTTAGTAAAATGGCTGCCATTTTGTTATTTATCAATATTTTTTAATTTTCTTACCGGATTTTTGAAGAAGAGTGAAAGCTCTTTCAGACCTAAACAGAAAGAATTAAATATTCCAATTGGTCTAAAAAAAATATGACACACTTGAAAGGTTTTTTTTTTTAATTTTAAGATAAATGACTTTTCTAACTTGAAAAATTAAAATCGTTATAACTTTACAAACAACAGTTTTTAGCTAAATAAAAAAATACGTGTCGTCTAAAAATCATTAAAAAAAACAAAATTTCTTAAAAGAAATAAATTTTCAGCACAGAAAAAATTCAGCCTGCCTGATTTGAAATGAATTCGGTCTATAGAACCAGATTTTTTTACGTGTTTCATTCAATCTATTAATTAAAATTAATTATTAAGATTAATGTAAATTAATGAATTTAAAATTAAATATTTAAGTAAAAAATCTTAATAAAATAAAATTCAATTGTCAAATGGAAATCAAAATTGAATATTAAGGGGAAGCACCGTCTTTATTTTGACCCCTTTATTTTATATCATTTGAGACCTAAAAACGTACAGGGTTATCAAAAAAAATCTTATTTTTTAATCATTTTAGAATTTTTATTGAAAAAAAAGATGAAATTATTTTAATTCCATACGATTAATTGTGGAGAATAATTAACAGAGCGTATAAAAAAATTGATGATGAAAAATATTCAAAATTGTAAAACCAGTGCAAATTTTCAAAAATTTTAATTTTTAAAGACTAAATTCTAAAATTATCAAAAATAAAGATTTTCTTTTTTTGACCACCCTGTATACTTTTAGGGCAGAAATGATGCATGAAAAATAATAACTTTCTGCGATCATAAAAAATAGAAGAGGTCAAAATAAAGATGTTGCGTCCCCTTAAATTTGTAAACAATTTTAAATTAAAATTAAAGCTATAAGTTAGAATTAAAAACTAAAATTTAAATAGATAATTAATTTAAACTCAAATAACCATTAGTTTAAATACAAAAAAATAAGGATGAATTCAAATTTAGTTAAATTAAAATTTGTTTAAATAAAAATTGCCAAGAACAATTAAATTGAGTACCTATAAAAATTAAATTATAAAAATTATATCCTAATAATTTGAAAACTCAGAACATCAAATAAATGAAAATTAACCATATAAAATATTCATTAACTAACACAATAAGATTTAAGTAAATAAAATAAATAATTAATTTAAAAATTTTAATCATTTATTTTTCAGGTAGTGCGAGTTCGTTAAATAGTCCAAACTCAATAACGCCTCCAAGAAATAAATTAGGTTTAATTTTGGCAAAATCTGAGAGCAATAGTCCCCTGACACCAGAATCAAAACATGGAAGTCCATTTTATGCTGAACCAGCAGATGCCATTACTCAAAATGCAATTATTGTACCTAGGAGGCGAGCAAAAAATAATCCTGCAACGAACAAATTTCGCCACAGTGAACCTGGATGGCTACAAACACCATTGGGAATTAATGCGAATCAACTTCATCCAATCGATTGGGAGGAAAATGAAGAAACAGAAGACAAAACGCCACTTATATCATCCTCAGTGGATAATCTCGCAAAACGATTAGGATCAAGGGAAATAAAAAAATTGCCCACCGCAAAACCCGTTCAACCCCCGAAAATTAAGACAAAACTTTTTACTGACACCTCTTGGACTGTGGATTCCAGTTGGGAATTTATTGGTAATAAAAATGAGATAATCATTTTTTTAAAATAAAATTTCTAATTTATATGAAATATTGTCGTTCTTTAAAATTACTGTAACTTGAAATTTTTATTGAAATTATAAATTAATTTAGAAATGAAGAAATTTCTAAATTGAATTTATAACTCAAAATTGATAAATTCATAAAAGTTCGAATGCCTTCATTTAAATTCGAAACTTTAATCGCATTTGTTGAAATTATAATAATAAATTCTTTTCACCTAATCTCCAAGAAACAATAAAATTTAACGTATATATGTAAATTGAAATAAATTTTTACTGTAATTACACAGGAAACGATGCCGAGGAACATGAACCTGATTACGATTGTGATGCGAATTGCGGAGTTGAGAACGTGGCAGGAAAGTTCCCGGATGAAGAAAGTGATAAATGTGTCGTTGGCAACACCTTAACTGTTCAGAGTATCATTCTTCAGCGGTAAGTATCAAGAAATATTTGCAAACCAATTTATTATCTTTTTATGCTGTTTTTAAAAAAAAAAAAAAAGACACGCAGTTTCCTATCTCTTCAGAGAAATCAGTAGATATTTTTTTATACCATACATAAATTTGTAATGTCCCTGCACAAATAAACATTAAATTCCAATTATTCGCTCGATTTATAGAGCAAAAAAAAACAGAATTTTTTTAATTTGATCCATAGTTATTTCCTTTTTAAAATTCAAATAATTGAATAATTAATTAATTAAAATGATTAAATTATTGAAATTAAATTAAATTTCAAATTTTTCAGGTACCCTGAATTGATGAAACCTCCGGATACTACGGAATCTGTTTACAGTGATAGAAATTCGTCTTATGACAATGTTGAGAGAAGAAATGAAAGGAATGGTACAATCGAATCGAAAAGGGATCACATTTACGATCCTTCCGAATGGGAAACATTGTTGGATACAGACGAGAGCGATGTGGAAAGAATCAAAAGAAATAAAAGTTTCAAAGAGCGTTTGGATCCCCTTTTATGTGAGTCAATAATTTTTTCTAGTATATATACATTCTCACATGAAAATTTATCTTTAGGAGATAATTTAAACCGGGAAATTAACAATAAATCAAATTTTTTTTCTTATCATTCAATCAAAATGCTTTACTGTCAGTGGTAATGCAATAAATATTAATCGAATATATTCTGATTAAATAGAAATAAGTCTTTACCTAGAGTTAGATTTGAAACATCACAAAATAATTAGAAATAACTGAAAATTAATCGAAATACTAATTTTTAATGGAAATTATTGAATTTTATTGTCTACATTGATTATTGATTTTTTAAAAATCTAATTGGCAGCAATTTTTTATTTATTTTTATTGCTTCTAAATACATTGAAAATAAGGTTAAGAAAATAAAATATTATCATTATCAGTATAACAATTTCTTATTTTGTGTAAATATTTTTACTATTCCTATATAATTTTTTTTTATCACTGTCTAAATTAAATCTTTACCGTGTGTCTTATGTCCAGTAAAGGAAAATATAAAATGATAAAATATCAAACTGAATATTGCACATCGAATGCCTAGAAATATATCTTTATTATCTCTTAAGGATAAAAGACTGCAAAATCACGCACCTCGGAAGGTTAAAAAAAATGAACATCAGTGTCAATAAAGCACTCATGTTCAACACGTGTTTAAAGAGAGCGTAGAAGAATCAACAAAGAAGTAGCAATTAAAGACTTATAAACCGACAAAGGAAGCGTATGATTAATATTACTGGCGCGTATAATTTGATCTACTTTCTAATCGAAATGGAACACAATAATTTAAAAAAAAAAAAAAGAATATTTTTCTTTTTTTTATTTTTGAACAATAATCATAATCGTGCTTTCTATTAAAAAAAGGGCAAATTTAAGAGAAATAAAAATCACGATGGGAAACCAGATAGGAAGTATTAATCAGAAAAGAATATATGTATTATCAAGAATGTGATAATAGAAATAAGGTCAACAATAATGGTAAATCGCGAAATTTTTGAACTACTGCCCCTGGCCGTTTTCTCTTTGGCATGCGTGAAGTAATAAAATTGCTCAATCGAGAGAGAGATATATATACACAATATGTAAATGTAAATCATTTACACACAGTTCACTCGTGCATTGATCTCTTCCAATCACAGTTGTCGTTTGCTACGCAAAAGAGTCGACATTCTGATTTGCATTCTCTATTCAATATTACTGTTTGAAATTTAAATCTATTGCAATCTATTCGAGATTTTAATCAAACTGAAAACTTCATCTTTCAAAGCTGAGACAATAACGAAATTTTTTTTGAATATTTAAATTTTATCAATATATTATTTCTATATTTTAATATTTAATAAATAAATGCAATTTGATGATCCAAACAAAATAAAACACTTTGCCAAATATATAATTTATAGAAACAAAGAAACTATTGTTATAAAAATCAATGATTTAGAATTTGTGAAATTAAAAAATTAGAAAATAAAATTAAAGAGAAACTTGCATTCAAATATTAATATTAAAAAATAAAAATAATTTAATTTTCAAAATATCTTTATTATCTGATATTAAATTATTATTTATTTCTCAAAATTCAACAGACAAAGTACAATCCAACAGATTATAATTAAAATAAAGTATTAAACTCAAAAAAAAATTTATCTTATCACATTTATCATTAAATATTTAGTTGCTACTCGAAATATTAAATAAAAAAATTCCTAAATTATTTTTCAGACATATATTTAATAGGACCAAGAGAAATGAAGAAAATTTTGCAATTAATTTCACATTGATATAATGATACGTAAAGCAATTCATACATATAATCGACGTCTATAGTGAAAGTCAAAGTCATTAGTTATGAGAGGAAACGCACGTTAGTGTTAATTAGAAAAAGCTATTAAAACCTAACTAAGCTAATTAAGCTAAATATTTCACTTTATTTCAAAAATCGACACCGAGATTTTCTTGTTATTACATAAAAAAATTGCAGTTCATTATTATTATTATTATTATTATTATTATTATTATTATTATTATTATTATGCTTGATAAACATTAAAATTCAATTTTTCATTACAATCATAATTTTAAATTTTTATATTTATTTATCTGGTAATATACGTCAAATAAAGAAGTTAAGAAATCGAGTATTCTAATTGAAAAAAAATGAACAATTATTATTTGTTCCGGGATATTATCAAATGAGTATGATTATTTTCAAAACATTTACTCCATTTAGATTGTCTTTTATAACTACGCCATTTTTTGAATTAAAAATGTGTTCAATGAACGATAAAAGACTTGAGTAGAAATTGATAATTTTAGAATTATCAAATCATTTTAATTACGCGAAAGTATCTTTAATTAAAAGAATGTAACCCTTACTCATCATGTCATTTTTATATTTATTAACTTCATACCGATAGCGCAATTGTAAATTATTGATATGATATTTCAAAAAAAATCAATTTTTTTTTTAGAAAACTTTTAATAGAACTTCAACTTCAAAAAATTGAAGAAAAAAGTGAATTTATTTAAAAAACTACAAAAGAAAAAAAAATTTTAATAAAATAACAAATTTATATAAAAACATTTTTATATTAAAAAATATTTGTAATATGCGCGAAAAAAAATAGGAAATTAAAAAACAAAAATTATTTCTTTTTAAACCGATTATTACTCATTAAATTTCTCATTTTCCTAAATATTGTCAACTTGGAATTTCCAAGTTGGCGAAAAATCAACATATTTCACAATAGTTTTCAAAAAAAGAAAAAAAAAAGAAAAAATTTTCTCCTTTTAATCAAAATCTGATGTACATTTATCTATATATGAGCTAAAAGATAAATATTTTGCATCTTTCAAATATTTCATATGTAATAATATATTTTTAAAATGCAATATCTTAAAAAAAATTTGTTATTTTCTCTCATTCGAATATTCTATTATTTTGTTTTTTGCTGTGACAAGATTTTTTGTAAAAAAAAAAAATATTATTATCAATTTTCTGATGTAAAATCGCACGCTTCCCAGCAATAGACTATCAATAGCTTTAAAAGTTTGTGCAGACTAAAGAAACAAGTATAGAATAAAGATATTCGTCATTCAACTTGAACTATATGTGACAGACAGGCTTTAACAGAATCTAAAGTACAATTGCGATAAAGTCATTCCGGCTTAAGTGTTTATTGTTCCCCATCCGTCTCTCCACCACGTACCTCTGAAGTGCTTCCACAAGAGGTATAAAGTCAGTTCGAAACCGATATTGGTTAGTATAACTTCGCGGAAAGAATTTTCCTCATTTATTTTGTGTTTTTAAAAAATTTATTTCAATTTCAAATTCATTTTCTAAAAAAAAGTGCGTGTATCTAATTTTCGAAAAAACTAGAAAAAAATAATCAACTTTCTAATCGGATTTAAATTAGAAATTTCAAATTACGAAAAAAAACCAACCAATTTGTTTTTAATTATTTTTCCCAATCTGTATCTATCAAGAGACACTTATGAATACTATTTATGACTTTCCGGAGTCTCTGCCTTTTACAAGGGCAAGAACCACTCTCGACTATCTTACGGAAGAACAAGTCAAATTTAGCCGACTGTTAAGCAAACGCGCTTTCTGGTCGCGAGCAAGATTTGCAATAAACTAGTTGGTCAAATCTTTGTCAATTTGACAAGAAGTAATATTTTTGGATTTTTCATGGCTGTGCATTCATCAAATTCACTATTTTCTTGTATCAAATTATATCTCATATGCCTAATGCTTTAATTATTTATTAAAGCAAATGAAGGCGAATTTCATTTCAAACTATGAAGAAAAACTATTCATAGAACTTTTGTCTTAAAAGTACATTCGTATTAAATATTTTTTCAATTTTTTAAATGGTTTTCTTCTTGAAGAAAAGAAACACCATTGAGCAATAACATATACGCATATAAAGAAACAAATTTATATCGATTGAAAGAAAAAAATTTGGAACAATTTTATCAAAAATGACTATGCTTAATTGCTCGGTTGAAATCAAAGTCGACAACAAAAAGTTTTCCTTTAAAACGTGTCACATTTTGCAGAAGATCGGAAAGTGGTTTCAAAATCTTCGACTTAAATTACAACGTTCGATGGAGTCACTCAAAAGTAAGAATATTCAAAATCCTCAATAACTTTTTCGTATATTTACAAAAATTTCTTAATTTGTGTAAAATTTTTTTTTTTTTTTAATAAAAATTTGAAAATCATTTATCTCAGTTATCAGTTGCCTTCCGTGATTTACCATATCATTACGCTAACATGATAAAACGCGATAAATAGCAATTTGAATGTTAAAATATTCTGTCAACAAATTTTATCTTCATTTCTCCTGGCTTAAGAAAATATTGCACAAAATAAAGAAACTAAAATGACTTGTAAATTTAAAAAATTAAAAATAACTACCCAACAACAAAAATAATTTTTACAGCTTTAAAATATTATAAATTTTAAGTAAATTAATTTATATCTACTTTAAATTAATTACAATATTCATTGTATTTTACAGGGAATTATTTATTAACAATTAATTATTAAATATTAATAATAATAATAAAATAACTTTTTTTCAGCACCACCAAGATTACAATCGTTAAGAAATCGAGAAGCTGGAGGAACAGGATCGTCTATAAGAACATACGCCCTTCAACTGGCACTCGACAAAAGTACAACATTCTCTCAAAATATTGAAAATTTCATTCAATGCACCAAGGAGGGAAAAGAAGCAAGTCCTCATGTGGTTATGAGGAATATAAGACAATTTATGTCGGGAATGAAAAATTATTTAGTGAAACATGGTGAAAGAGAATTTGAAAAGGAAGTCGAAAAAGAGAGACTCAAACTAAAAGCTAACGAATTTCTCAATTTGGATGCCATTCTGGAAGAAGTAATGATGAGTCTTGTTGTACGACCTCTTCGAGAGCATGTCTATCAATTATTTGTCGATCATTATGCAGCGAATGAATCTCTTAACACTCTTGCTGAGAGTATTCAATTCGCCCAAGCAAAGCACATTCAAGATCTTGGAGTGAGGGTAAGAGTCATTTTGGTTAAAATTAGAAAATTAAATATTAAAAAAGAAAATGCATTTATAAATTTAACATTTAAATCTCAATAAGTTTGACATAATCGATTTGAAAATTAAAATACTATTATTTTTTTTGCAGCCTAAGATCATTCCACCATCGGAGGCAAACTTGGAACGAATTCTAAAATACATTGAACGTCTGCAAAAAGTTGATTCTCCTCTGGACAAATTAGAAAATCTTCTTTCGGCCATTTCTGCAATTTTTAACTCTGTAAGTTTAATTTTCAAAGAAAAAAACAATATTTTTCCATTTATAAATTTCCATCCTATAAATTGCAGAGAAAAATAATGGGAAAAATTTTTTTTTTTTCGATAATAGGTAAAACAATCGAATTCTGGTAGACATGTCACCTTGGGAGCAGACGATCTGCTTCCACTTCTCGTTTGGGTTTTGGTTCAAGGAAGAGTAATCGACGCTGAAATTGAGGCCGAATATATGTGGGGTCTTTTGCATCCATCTCTCCTTACCGGAGAAGGTGGATACTATTTAACAACTCTTTCTAGCGCTGTACACGTTCTAAAAACATTCAAGTCTAGTCAGGGAACTATGTCCACTTTAAATGTAAGTAGGTTAAGAATATTTCAAACGACTAAAAAAATTTATTATCCTATAAGGAAAACTCTTCAATGACGTAAATTACTAAAACGAATAAGGTTAAAAAAAAATATATCGTATAACGTTAAAAAACGTAAATAAGAACGTATAAATTTAAAAAAAAAAGCTAAAAAAAGTATACCATTAATATATAAAAAAAAATATTCCAAAAAAAAGGAAAAAACTTTATGAATAACGATTTACAGGGTTGCGGATCGCCAGACTGTTCATCAGTTTTGCGAATCCTCGTTCCAGACGAACTTCATGGTTCTCTCAATACAAAAACACTTCCTGTACGGCCAAATATGAGTACACGAGACGTATGCCGCATTCTCGCGCATAAAATAAGATGTACAAATCCCCAGGATTATGGCCTCTTTAAACTTGTTCAAGGAGAAGGTGAGACATTATTTCCTAATAATATTTTCAAAATTATCTCACTAACTATATGTAAAAATATAGTTTTAAAATAACATTTTAATATTGTCAACAGTTGTTCAAGCATCATTTTCAATTGTGAAAATAAATTAACTATCACACTTAAAGAACAATAAAATCAATGGAAAAAAAAATCAAAAATAAAGTAGAAATGGAAAATAGTAAAAAAAAAAAATATCTAAAAATAACGTTTAAATATTTTTTAATCAAACAATGAAATTACAATTTTATTTATTTACGAAGCTGAAGTACGCAACGTTTATAATAAACGATTTTTAAAGAAATAATTTTTTAAAATGTAAAATTCTATAATGTTTTGCCTAAAAAATATTTTTTTATAATTTGTTGATTAATGAAAACTACAAGAAATATTTTTTCGAGAAAAATTATAGAATTTTTCATTTTTAAAAATTAATTCTTTAAAATCGTTTATCATAAACGTTGTGTACTTCAGCTTCGTATTTATTTCACTAAATTCTCGTTCATAATTTTAATTTTATCTAATTAACTTTTTAAGATAGAAATAATTTGGACGTAATTTGTAATGAAAAATTATAATAATTATTTTTTAAGAATAATATTGAATAATAATATAATAATTTATTAAAATTTCAGAAACTTTACTTGGCGATCAAGAATCACCTCAAGAACTGTCACATTGTCTATTTGCGTTTAAGCGAATAGACGCAAAGATCGCTTGGCCAAAAACCAATTCATAAACCAATTTCAAACCGTTCTCAGTACTTTTTTTATCAGCATTAGCTCAGGGTTGCGGCATTGGTACGAAAAAAAAAATACAATTACATATCCGAAATTCGGATTTCAACCTTCAATGATCACTAACTATATGCAGAAAAATGAGTGTTTAAAAAAAAATTTCGATTTTTACTGTGAGTTCATCAACCTACATTATATTAAACTTATATTAACGTTTCAATGCAATCTTCCGGAAATCATTAATAATATATAGTTGACGTGAATAGATATATCGCAAACTACAAGGAAATCTATTTTATCGATAAGTAATTGATCTAACTATTAATATCAATACTTAGAATGAAGATAATATATAATATTTCTCTACATGATATCATTACACAAGAGATAATAATATAATATTTCTCTTCATGATTACCTATCGATTTAATAAAATTAAAAAAAATCCCTGATACAAGCGAACAAAAATCTTGTCTTTTTTTTTTTGTGTAAAACTTTTATAAGTACGCGCGATTAATATAAAAATTTACAAATCGATCAATTTCAATGTCTCAATTTTACGATTAAAATGAAAATTGCAGTTTTTAAAAATATATAATATAAATATTTTTAATATCTCTGTCGTCGGCAGTAAAATTCAAAAACTACATTTTATACAAAATATTTAATATAAAAGTTATTTGCTGAAACTAACAATCAAGCAAACATAATTTTTCGACGAAATATTGTGTAATGCTCTTAAGTTTATTTGATAAAATGAATTGAAAAAAATACTTTCTCATTTATAATGAGAATTTAAAAAATATATATATATATTAATTTAAAAAGATTATATCTTTAAAAATAACGTTTAAAAAAATGTAACAAGATTTATTTAAAAAAAAAAAACATATAGAGAGAATATCAAGTATTTGAGAAATCTGCTCACTCAATCAGTATTCTAATTTGATGAGAAATTTAGATATAGGAAGTTTTGAACTTGAGATAATACAATTATACTCGTGTTCGATAAACCCTATACAAATATTTAGAAATTTTTTTTTTGTGAGAAAAATGTGAATCAACGATATAAGAAAAGAAAATGAAATGGTCTTGATATTTAAGCTAACTTGAATAGTCTCGAAAATATAATGATAAAATTTTAGAAATATAGAAAAATGAGGAAGATTAGTTTAGGGATTTATTTTAAGTACTGTCTATGGGGACGTGATGAAACTGTAGGAATTCGTGTAAGAAATTTGTATTTTACACGAAAGAATCATATTTAGTGGAAGTTGTATACATTAAAAAAAAAAAAAAAAAAAAAAAATACAAACTAAACAATTTTATATGAAAAAGAAAACACCTCTTTAAATTGGACCAGGCCAAGGCTGATTTGGCCCCCCCCACAGAAGTAATCTAAAATATATTTTCAATTTAGAGACTGCCGTTAAGCTCGTTGTAGAGATGGTGATTTTTATTTCATTGTTTCAATTTACTTAAAAGATTTATATATATGCAAATCAGCCATTTGTTTTATACATATATATGTAAATCGAGTCAACTCGATGACGACTAAATGTTTTTAATGAGGAATTATTGGATTATATTTAATAATTCTTTTGAATGCTTGTAAAAAAAGAAATATGTATTCTAATTTTCAATTGTATATTTTTTTGTAGCTAATTTATTAAAAGTTTTTTTTATTGTTCATTTTTACGTGATAATTTTCATCGGATTCCTCGATATATGCTTTATTTTCTCTTCAATTAATGCAATTGAAATGTTATTGCTTCTAATATGCTAGTCAAGTCAATCGAATGTACTGTTAAGCGTAAGTTCGGCAATAGTTTTATATGTTAAAACATATGTCGTTAATTATCATTAGTATCATCAACATTTTTATCATTATTACTACAACATGTAATTCTATGCTCAATAAACAATTTTCTATAATTCGAATAAAATTAATAGTTTCACCCCTTACTCCTTTAAAAATATATTATTTCATATAAAAAATTTAAGGTAATTATAACGAAGCTGAAGTACGCAACGTTTATTATAAACGAATTTTAAAGAAAAAAATTTTTTTTAAATGAAAAATTCTATAATTTTTTGCCTAAAAATTTTTTTTTTATAATTTGTTTATTAATGAAAATTACAAGAAATATTTTTTAGGCAAAAAAATTATAGAATTTTTCATTTTAAATATCATTTCTTTAAAACTCGTTTATCGTAAACGTTGCATACTTCAGCTTCTTATACTAATAATATTTAAATTAACAATGATTTTAACAATCATTCTACAACTATCAATGATTTTAATAACCAATGCTTTAAACTTTTACTTCAACAAATAAATCAGTTTTTAATTCAGTTTTTTCAGCATTCGTAAAAGTTGTATCAGATTAAAAATAAACCCGGAAATAATAATTAATAATAATTAGACAAAATTTTATAAATCTGAGATAATTTTTTTTTTTCTAAAAAAATTGACAGTGGACCGTTGTCACATGATCATCAAAAATATTTAAATTTTTATCAAAGAAATTTTTTAATACAAAAGAAATTTAGATCGAAATCACTTGAGAGGTTTACTAAAAATGAAAAAATTCTTTTTTTCACTAAATCTAGTGTAGAATTTTTATTTCTCATTCGATTGTGCTCTACTTGGACTCAAAATTTTCGTAATTAAATAGACTATCGATAAAAAATTTAAAACAGGAACTTTTTTTTTTATTGTTTGGATTAAAAAAAATTAGCAGAAGTTAGACAAGTATCACACCTCGAAAATGTGTTTTTTTTTAGATTCAGCAAAATTGCACGAAGGAAAAAATCTAAAATATGTTTTTCTTACTCAAAAAACACCTAGGGGAGATGTATGCAGGTTGAGACGGGGGTTTTTTTTGGGGGGAAATTAAATTATAAAAATTTAACAAAAAGTTTTATTTGTCGTGCAAAAAGTATTGGTCAGAGCATCAACATTGCCTAAGAAAATAGTAATTATTTTTAAAAATACAAAATTTAATATAATATCAACTGTCTCAACCTGCATACATCTCCCCTATTAATTAAAAAAAAAAATGTTTTCTTCGATTGGCAATTTCCCTGTAAAACGGTGTAATTTTACAAATCAACAAGTAAAAGTTTAAACAACTTTGTAACGCAAATATGTAAATAAATTTGCATAAACACTGGAACTCCAGTTAATTATAGAGATACAATATTGACTCAAACAGAGAAGAGATTTAAATAAAAAACAACTCACCGATCGCGGATTTCCTCATCGCAGCGATGGCTGAATTATTATCATTTCGGGGCCACTCTCGAAGATCCCTCATTCTTGCTTGCACTTCTGCAGAGGCCGAGAGCTATACTGCCATACTCTTCAAAAAGGACATTATTTTGAATAGTACGTCAATATGCAGGGACCGCTTTTCTTCATCCTCCTTATTATCCTCCTTCCTGTCCTTCAGTAAGTCATATAGACATGGACTGAAAAAATAGAAAAATTTATTAAAAAATTTAAGTACACAATTTGTTTTCTGAAACATTCTTAGATTCGTCCGCCATATTAGATCTGCCATTTTTAATTTCTCTAAACTGATATCACATCTATTCGTAATCAGTTACCTAAAAAATCCCTGAGTAATGTATAATTTTTAAATTTAAAAAAAGAATTTGAAAAAAATTTAATAAACTTACATATTAAACTGCACTTATTGTCAGGCCGTATATGATCTCCTCCAGGAACAATTTCAGAACTCATGATTTCCCTCCGAGAAAATTGTAGCTGTAAATCGAAAAAAAATTGCATTCAAATGAAAATAAATAATAAATACCATAGACCTTTTCATGATGATCGTTCTGTTCTTATCTAGCGTATACAATGACGCATAAAATGGAAGAGAACAGAATGATCAGCATGAAAAGGTCTATTGGCTGTATAATCACAGCACTTATTGTTGTTAAGCACACAATTTTTCTCAAAAATTTAGGGATAACAAAATTGCTATAAAATAGATTCATATAAAATATTAAAATTTGTCACAAATTTAAAAAAAAAATTGTTTTCACGACAGAAATTTTATTTTCTTTTAAATGATAGAAATAAAAAATTTTGTCTTACATTCTTCAACTTAAGTTGCAAAAACATTTCTTAAATTTCTAATTTTTTGAAAAATAACACGTTTTAACATTTTTGTAATCATTATCTTGAATTTCTAAATTTATGTTAAATTTCACTACTATATTTAGCTTTGTACCGTAATTCGACCAAAATTTTTCAAAAGAATTTAACTACAATATTTTTGCAATAATCGGAATTTTGAAAAATCTAAATTGTTCTGTATAAATTTCAGATCAGCTGTAAAATCACAAAAACGCAATTATTATCATTCTTTTAATTCGCTTTGATCACCGAAACAATATCTTCAAAAATTCTAATACATATGGAAATTTAACGACAAAGATAAAATTATTTTTTCTGCATAATGTACAATTGTTCATTAAAGACAAAAAAAGTGGAAAATTGTAAAAAATTTACCTATTAGAAGTTCCTCGGTGTTTACATTTCTTCATCAACGCACGACCAAAGAATGTGGCGATCACTTCGTCTCTTAAATAACCTTCTGATTTTTATTCGACATCAAACCAACCTTTAAATCAATCACCAAGAACTAAAAAAAAACAAATTATTCGCGTATATATTTACTGACACAAACAAAAGACTGAAAATTTCTAACAATTTCTTCTTGATCAATTGTTTTCACACAGCAATGATTGTAGTCAAGTCGTATAACAGTCGAAACGTATTTAATTTTTATTTTCTTAATTATTAATTGTTATTTCCAAAAATATTTCTTAATTTATTATATGAACAGCAAATAGTATAATTACTTTAAGGAAAATGTTGACGAGAAAAATCACGATATTATTAGATGTTATCAACAACACTCGAAACAGCAAATCGACGCCATATTGTTTTAAGCAAAAAATGCAGTTACAATCTCTATATCTATTTTGAAATTTCTATTTGTATCTTAATTGGTTGATAAGCTGATTAGTAGGGTAGAAGCGCCAAATTTCACCCAACCAGAAGAAGTCTCGTAAAATACGTAAATATATGTAATTTTATGTACACTACGCAAATAAGAAAATTAAGAAAATGTATAAATTTGCTAAATTGTATGCTATTTTTTAATTTTTTGACAAGATAAATTTACAAATATAAATTAGAAATAAATATATTAGAAATATATTTTCATTAAAATATATTAAAAATAAATATAATTTTTATATTTAATTTTGAAATTGCCGCTAGTGATACCTAGCCATTCATAAAGCATGCGCAGATGCGTCTGAATTGTTTGTGTTTAGTTTTTTATTTTCTTTCTGCTTTGACCAAGTTAAACTTATTTTATATAAACTTATAAAGTGTTAAATAATTACAATGACAATCACAGCATTAGATCAAAGTACTGTAAAATTTTTGAAGACAAGCCAAGTTATCACATCAGTATCCTATGCTGTTAAAGAACTTGTGGAAAATTCACTTGATGCCGGTGCCAAAAATATTGAAATTAACCTTGTATGTTTTTAAATATATTAATTTAATAACTGCTATTATGAAAAAAAAGAAAAACTGTCATATATTTGCATTGTGATCTAAATTTTTTTGATAATATGGATTAAATTACTATTATATACTCTTGTATTTAAATTTTATTGATAAATATATATTATGAAACTAAATTAATTGTATTTTAGTCTGATGATGGATTAACAAATATTGAAGTAAAAGACGATGGCTCTGGAATTTCAAAAGAAGATGCTCCATTTATGGCACTGTCATCGTATACTTCAAAAATAAATAATTTCGAAGACTTGGGTCAGTAATTTATTTAAATATAATTTTTACCATCTGTATTAATTGTGTTTTAAATAAAAAATTTATTTTGAAGCTAAACTGTATACATATGGCTTTCGAGGAGAAGCTCTTCAAGCTTTAAGTGAAGTTGCAGAGCTTATAGTTATTACAAAATCACAAAATGAAGAGATTGCAACTTTATATAATATTGACTCACAAGGGAATATCTCAAAATCGGAACCTTGTCATAGATCAGTGGGTCCGAAAAACTTACTTTTGTATTTAAAATAAAATAACGATTTTTATTCTATTTCCTTCTAATTGTCATTATTATTATAGGTACAACTGTTCAGGTTAAAGGATTATTTAAAAATTTACCCGTTAGAAGACAAAATTTACTTAATTCGAGAAGAGCAAATCAGGATTTGAAATATTTGGAAGTTCTGTTAAAAAGCTTTGGAATTATTCATCCTGATCTTCGAATTACTTATAGGTTGAATAAACAAATTGTATTTATAAAACCAATTGCCAATAATCTAATTGAATCAATTACAAATGTCTTGGGAAAAGATGTGTCGTCTAATTTGGAATTTATTGAGAAAACTTTTTCCGAGGTTCGCTATACAAATATTTACTGTCTAATAACATTGATTTAAAACTTATGAAACATAAATAAGAAACATTTTTCGGATTTTTCGATTCTATAGTCTAATTGTTATTTTTTTTCTTCAACAGGGTAAAATTCAATTAATGCTACCAAAAATAGATCTTCCAGAACCAACGCTAATTTGTCAATCAAAATCTCAATTTATTTTTGTTAACAATAGAATTCTTGTCTATAAAGAATTACAAAAGGTAGAGAATTGTTTTTTAAATTTCTATATTAATAAATATAAATGACAAAAATTAATTTTTCTCACAATGTTATATTTTTTAGCTCTTAAATAAGAAGATTAATGAGTATTATTTAAAGAAGGGAATCACATTAACAAATTGTATATTTTTTATAAACATAAAAGTAGACCCTTCAAATATAGATATTAATTTAGAACCAAACAAGACTAAAGGATTTTTAAAAAACGAGGTATTTGTATAAAAATTTATCAAATAAATAATATATAGTAATTAATAATGGTTTCTATATTAAAAATAAAATATAATATAATAATTAATTTTAAAAAATATTTACTGAAAATAAAATCAAACATATTTGACAACAGTATAATTGTTGTAAAAATAATATAATTTTTGAAATTACAGAATTAAAAATTATTTTCAATTTTCCAGAGTAAAATAATCGAATTTATCGAATCAGTTGTGATGAATTTTTACCAATTGGATATATTTCCAGAAACTGAGAATGATAAATTAAAAGAAGCTTCAATTAACGATAATACCTATTCAGATGAGAAAAATAATAGAGATTCAAGTATCGCAGACAAAGAAAACGAATGGCCTGCATGTAAAAAACGCAAAGTGGAATTTAATAGAAAATCATCTACTGGTGATATTGTGGACAATGCAAAATTTTTATCTAGTAAGAAAATATTGATAACTGAATTTAAAGTAATTTTTTTAAGGAATAATTAAATTGCATTTTCATTGATATTTATCATTATTTTCCTTTTTAGTTGACAATGAATCTAGTGATACGATATCACCAATGATTTTAAGTATAAAGGACCCAATTTTAAGTGAATCAGACTCAAATAGCGATAATGAAATGAAAGGAAGGCGTAGTGTTACATCCAGAAGGTTAATTTATACTTATAATTAATATTTATATTTTAAAAAATTAATAAAATAAAAAATAAATATTGAAACGTTTGATTGCAGAAGCAAAGAATTACTTAGAAATAAGAGAGTCTCCAATGAATCTGTAACCAAAGAAATGCCTATGGATACGGAAACTTTGTCTCAATTACCAGTTGTCGATCTTGGGGAGGAATTTTCACAATTAAGCAAAGAATTTTCTAAAGAAACATTACAATCAAACGATTTAACTTCTGAGTCAATGGATGATATAGATCCATTGTTATTAGATGTTAATCTAGATGAATTTCTAGACTTTAATATGGAGTCAGAAAAATCAAAACCTGCTTTGAAACAGAGTACTTTAAGTCTAGACACTTCTCAAACTGGAGAAATATCTTTTAAATTGGATAAAGATAGTTTCGCGAATGATAGTTTAATCCAACCGTCACCTAATTCTTGGAGTCGAGGACATGTTTCAGGATTGATGGTATTAATTTTACAAAAAAATAAAACTAATTAAAAATGATTTCAAAAAATAGAAAATTTTATTTCTTTTTAGGCAGGCACTGAAGTCAAAGTAGCTGGATTAAATGAAAAGGACCGACCAAGTAGTTTAACTGGTTTTAATATATTTTTTTCACAAGTACGATCACAAGGTAATTTAGTTTATTTGTCAATTATTAATTATTTTATTTAATACAATTATTATTATTATTATATTAAACGACGATTTTTAATACAAATTATAGTTGTGGAAGAAAATCCTGAAATGTCTGTCCCTCAAATTGCTAATCTTCTTACAAATCGTTGGAAGGAAATGAGTCATGAGCAAAGGGCGAATTATTATGAAATGGCTCAAAAAAGAATGAATCAAGAAGAATTGTCATTGAAAAGAGAAAAAAAAGAAAAGCAAGAAAAGGAGAAAAACAAAAAAAGACTTTTGAAAATGTTAAATATTATGAAAGCAAATAATAAAGAAGTAAATAAAACAAAAGAAACTATGAAAATAAGAACAACAACACAAATGGAAACTAACATCAAAAGTCTCACTGAGAAATTCTATAGGTAAATTTTTGTATATAACGCAAAAAAATACAATTTTCATGGAATAAATTTTTTTGAAAATATTTATTTTAGAAAAAAATCTTCAAATCAAAACTTGGTAATAGGAAAATTACAACCTTCTTTATGGATTGTGAAAATATCCACTCAGTTTTGGTTACTCGACGTAGCGGAAATGTTTAAAAAATTAAATTTTATTGAACATAGTTCAAATGAAGTAAGTCAATTAAATTCTATTTTTTTATAGTCCTTTAATTAAATTACGATTATTACAATTTTTTAATTAAATATTATTTTCTTTAGACTAACGCCAAGACACTGGAAAAGCTTTTAAAACGATGGACATTAGAAAAAGACGATATGTCTATTTTACATCTTATCGATAAAAATATGTAGTTAGATTCAAAAATAATTTTAAAAATTTTATGACATTTTAATGTTAAAATATTAGTATTTTTTTATTATTTAATAATTTTAATAAAAATATTTATAACATAAATCATTTACTGTTATTTTCATTTACATGGAAATTCGTATTTATTTTTAAATTTAGCGCCTTTTGTAAATAATCGAAATAAGTCTATCGATATGTCGTACATCGATAGATATCAGAGTTGGGCGGGCCAAATCAAAAAGTAAACTAAGACCGTTTATATAAAGTAGTAATATACGTTAAAATTACTTGATATTTTAAAATAATATCAAATTATTAAAGATAAGTTGACAAGTGTTTAAATTTTTCTTAAATACGTGAATCATTTTTAAATAATGAAACGAACAAAAAAATAGCATTTGGATAATTATTTTTAAAAAATAATTATTACTTTCACAGACAACTTGACATATAAATACTTAAAAATTCTCAAAAAGATTAAAAAAAAATGTTTAACAATATTACACAGATCTTAAGAACTCTTATTTATAAGACTGGAATATTATTAAAAGAGGACATTACTTGAAAACTTATTTGTAGCCAAAATGTTCGTAAATAAACATAAATTCATTGATGGCATTAATTTTGTAACGAATATTCGACCTTATATAATGAAGACAAGCGAATGGATTGTAATCATTGAAAACACATTTCGCAGAAGAATATTTAGAATCAATAAAGTCTTTATCCTGAATACCCTCTGTTTGATTGAAATTCGTTACCATCAATGGGCATTGTCCTTTATTAAAAACTGCTATAGATTTTTTCCAAGACGAATAAGCGTGAAAACCTGGATTAAAACAAGCAATCATATCGGGCTTTTCAAAATTTTTACTGCTACAATAATTATGATATTCTGTCGCATATTTTTTGATAATCAATTGTCTTTTATCTTCCACGCAGAGTTTGCACACATTTTGCACATTCGCATCAAACGGAAATAGTTCAGGTCCAATCAAAATTAATGTAAGTTTACGTAATTGTGGCAAATAGTGCAATATTGTTTCCCAATATGAAAATACTTGTTCACGTATATGTGCGCCAACAACATGAATTAACATAGAATCCAAATTGAGATTTAATTTCTCCATAGCAAAAAGTATTGACAGTGGAATAGAATATTTCTCTGAAAAATAAGAGTCAAATGCAAATCTTTTTTCAATTTCTAACATATTGTATGGAACATTTGAAAAATATTTTTCAAAAAATTGCATCATTGAATTTGGCAATTTTTCAACGTTTTTTTGCAATGGTAATTTCATATCTTCATTTATGTACGACATCGATTCAACAATATTTGCATAGGATTTATTTTGTAAATAAAATATTGATAAGTATTTAATGCACACATTCTCATGACTTGGATCATTTATGTGAATCTCGCAAAAGCTGGATTGAGGACATTTCGTACAATTTTTAAGAAGTTTAGGATTACATTCAAAGCAAACCGCACAAACTCTTGGGTTGTCTATCATATCAAATTCAAGACATTTTAGTGGCCTCATTAGTAATTCGGAAATTCTTAATATCAAAAAATCCTGAAAAAAGAATTTTTTTTTTCAATAAAAATTAATTTTAAACGAATTGAAATATTTTTATATTTTTTTAGCTTACAAATAAATCAAAACCAGTTGTTTGTAACTTCCTTCTGAGACGAAACATATCAAATTTAATTACTGTTTCTGATTTTTCACTGGACATGCACATTTTTTTTAAGCGCTTAGAAAGGATTTTCTGCATTTCATTCATCGTAACATTCTTATCTTTCAGTGTTTGAAATAAATTATCCACTTTCCATTCTTTCATTATTTGACACAAAACTTTGCAAAATTCCTTATGATTTGCCCAATCTTTTATTTGGTGTGCTTTGCTGCAATAACTAATCATGCCACATGCACCGCATCTTTTTAAACTAACATTTTCGCCAAAACAGCGGCAAACGTAACATGAATTTGGATAATAGACATCAGTCTCATTGAATGCCATTTTGTTAGTTTTAATTATCTCTCCAAGGAAAAGTATATTTTCACTTAAATATATTTAATTATAATTTCTCACTTTTAAATAATACTAAATATACAACAATCACAACCTGTAACGGTAACCGGACACCGGTGACATTAACCAAGGTTGGGTAGTTTTAGAGTAGTTTACGCGACATTCTATCTTCCTTTCTTTTCCCATACGTTAAAGAAGAATAGATATTGTTTGTCCTTCTCTAACTTATTCTTCCGGTTACGTTTCTATTCTGCGTTATAGTCATAAACAAATACAGTTTCTAAATAAAGCCACGAACGTTGAGCGCTGCGTTCGAAAGATGTAGTGACCAGTATCCCCAACTTAAGAAACGAAAACGGATGTAACATTGTTGCATAGCATTGTTCATTTGAATTAAAAATTTTTTTAAACAGATTTCTTTCAAAATGAATTGTTAACATGTATTTATTTACACCTTTTTACAGAGGATACTCTAATCTTTCTCCCATTAAATAATATGCGATAACAATTGTTATTGTTATTGTTATTATTGTTAAAATAAAAGATAAACTTAAGTTTATCTTTTATTTTCAAATTTTTTGCCCCAATGCAAATGCAATAATTTTTCTTTTTAAATATAGCAATAGTTTTAAAGGAACACTAGAAGAAGAAAATGAAAATATAAGACTAAATTTTACAATTTATTGAGTTTTAAAAACATTTATTACCGCGCAAATTTCTCCTTCCTTCCTCATTGACATTCCCCTCTCTGGAACTGTCTGTCACCCACACAGCGAAACCACAGCGATCTTGGTGTTTAGTACGTGTTCTGCTGCTCACGTCCGAGTTTGGTTTGTTTGACTGCTTGACTTTATTTTTATATTAAGTTGAATTTTTCGGTGATATGTCTTTTTATTTAGCCGGTTTTTTATACCAGTGTTAAATCATCGAATAATTTACATGTTAACCTTGCAAACAAATGTGTGAATATCAGTGTGTGGAAAAGAAAAACGATTTAATTTCATAGGAAATTAAAAGCTTTATTCTGTAACTAAAAGTGCATGTGTGTTCCCTTTTCTAACGGAAAAAGCAAAGTGTATTTATTAACTTCACTTGTATTGGGGAGACAATATCACGTGGACTCTTTGTTTTAAATTGGAATTTCACAGGAAAAAAGGCAAGAAATCTCGGTAAGATATTTTATCATTAGTAGTACAAGTCATTTAAATACTTTTAATAAATATTTCCATTTGAATAGTTGATTGTTTACAGGAATTTTTAAATACATTATAGGTTATGTTTGTTATTGTGTGTTTCTAAAAATGAACTGTTGAACGATAAATATAAGATTTATGAATTAAAATTATACAAAGTAGTGCGTATATTTATAATTATTAAATTTAAAATGTGAAATTACTTTTATTTCTAACATTTAAAAGGAAAATAATTGATTTTTCGGTGTTTACTTTTAACGAATGTGTATTGAATGTTAGCTGGAGTTGCACACATTGTTGATACAAATTGATTTATTAAGTATACATCAGTTAATTATACCCATAATTACCATCAAATTAATTTATTGTTCTGACAATTAGTTTTTATTATTGAAATTATTGTCTAAATTAATTAATTTAATTCTTTTTAAACTCAATTTTAAAAAGAATTTATTTTTTCTTACCGTTTAAATTTATTATATTTTATTTATTAATTTTTTATAATTTTTTTTTTTTTATCGAATATATGTTTTTTTTTCATTCAAATTGTACACAAAATTTTAGGATTATAAATAGACATTTAGAACATTTTTTCTTAGATTTAGACAATAGATTGATTTGCTTGTAGATTGAAAATAATGTTAGTAAATTATTAGTCAATCGATTTCAAATTGTAAAACAACATACATTTATGAAATCATTGTACATGAAGGTTGTAATAATTATGGTAATAAAAGACCCGCTTATGTCATGCATAATTCTTTAATAGAAAATCAATTGTCGGATTAAGAAATTTTTTAATTATTAATTTTAATTGATTTGTTTTATTTATTAATAATGAATTTATTATTTTTTTAAATTACTTTCTTTTGGAATTCACATTAATTAATTAATATTTTATACGTATTTTAAGTATACTATTTAAATTGTTACTTGCATATTTTCAATGAACACATATATAAAATTCTTTTGTTTATTTTGTTTCCGGTTTCCCGCGACGATTTGCTGACAATAGGGGAATTAAAATTCATTGAATGGTTTTGTTGTCAGGATCACTCAACGCGAGTCAATATCGGAGACGTGCAAATAATATGACAAACCACGACAGATGTTTTCGTTACATTAATTGTAATAAAAATCGTTTGTCTGGTGAATATTTAAAAAAAAATTCCCGGGAAAAATTAAATTTAGAGAATTATTACTTTTCTTAAAGTTTGAATGGAATTTGGGTGATTTAACGAAAATTATTTGTATATTTTGGAATTTGAATTTATTAATGAAAGGCGTGATAATTTTTTTTTCATTATTTTATTTGTTTGTTTCATTAGAAAAATTTTTTTTTTAATTTGTCAATGTTAATATAGACTTTTATTGAATTGAAAACCTAAAATTATTATAAAAGTATGATGATGTTGCAACTTTCACCTTTTTCATTTTATTTCTTAACCATTTTTGGTTTTGATTTCTGAAAATAGGCTTCGATCTTAACTGGATTTTCTCTTATTAGGAGGCGGAGATCTCGAAACTCTGGGCAATAATCATTTGCCAATTGCTCGCTATATTTTGTGTTTGTGAAACAAGGGAGGTCATATGTGTATGTGTGACGATATTTCGATCTGAATGACGACATCGTCACCTTTTACGTCGACTCGATTCTTGATTCTCCTTCCTGCCTTTATGGAAGTGTCATTGATCGAAAACCATCACGATGACACGTGTTCAAATTAACACTTCCACATTTTCTTAATAAATTATATCAATTATATTTTTTCTTATAGAAGATTTTTCTCTTTGGATTCAAAAATTCTTTATAGAGATACTTTTGTCAATTACTTAAATCTATTTAAACCAAACGTCGGTGAAGTTTACAACGCGTTTATGATCAACGATTCAAAAACTAAAAAAATAACTATTTTTTTTTTACAAATTTTTTTTCAAATAATAATTGTTGATCAAGAAACGTTGCAAAAAATTTTGTAGATCAAAAATAATAATAATTTGCATAGGAAAATTTTTTTTTTCTTAATCGTTGATAATAGACGTTGTGAACTTCACCGACATTAAACCAAATGAAATACAAGAAATTTTTTCTTTCTTTCTATTTGAATTCGTCAAAATGAAATAAAAAAAAAAATTCCAACCTTGAGTTCTAAACAATTTCGGTGCATCAAATTCATGAAAGAAACATAAATTGACATTTTATTGTTGTTGAATATATTATTTTGAAACTACACAATATATATATGATGCAGTAGAGTCGATTTGCTGGTGATTAAAAATCCAGAAGTGGTTGGAGAATTGGTTCTAGTATTCTCGTTAACCGCATGTATTCAGTTTTTACTATACCAGTTTCGTAAATTATGAAAACGACCTGAAAGAATCATTCTCTCTTGGAAGCTGAACCATTCCCCATATCATCAAGTCTTTATATATTTTCTTTTTTGCCAGTAACTTTAATCTTTCCCTTATTTCATTCGCTTTCCTCATTTATACCTTTTACTAGCAAGTCCAGTTCGTGAGATTTACACATTCAAGAAGTCGAAGCAATAAAATGCAATTAAAAGAGGAGGAAAAAAATTCGATGAAATTTACTTGAAATTACATTTATAATAATCATTACAATTAATTTAATATATTTTTTTTAATTTGCAAATTTTAATAATAATTTACTCTTTGGTTTTTTTTATTATTTATAATTTAAATTTAGAATAATAAACTGACTAAAAAAATTCCTTTCGCATAAATAGTATTTTATTTTTTTATTTTAACAATGATTTAAGTTTAAATATTTAGTTTTTTTTTTATAAAAAGAACATTAATTTTTAAATAAAACGAAGTTGAAGTACGCAAAAGTTTATGATAAATGATTTTTAAAGAAATAATTTTTTAAAATAAAAATTCTATAATTTTTTGCCTAAAAAAAAATTTTTTTTATAATTTGCTGATTAATGAGCTGCGTTAAATAAAAATGTTTCAAATATATAAATTTATTTTAAATTTATAATAATGAATTTTGAGAAAATAATTTTATTTTATAATATTATTATTATTATTATTATTATTTGATATCTTGATGTACCTATATGCTTTTTGCTTATTCGCTTTTAACAAATCATGATCCGGTTTAACGAAGCGTAATACCATTTGTGTGTCTCTACTTGATAATCAAATTTAATTAAATAAAGTTCACGATAGTCGGTCAAAGTCATTGTGTGCACGCGATATTTTATTTGCAAGCATGTTAACCGTCATTAACCTTTTTTTTTTTAAATCGCCACCCTAAGAGCTCATGAAGTATAATATTTTAGATAAATTCCAAAGGTTCTCCGTTTTTTTTTATTTTCTTGATTATTATAATCTTGCAATTTTATGAAAATCTCATTTTTTTTTTTATCGTTACGTTCTTACCAGTGTTCAAATGAACAAAATATTTTTTTCAATCTATAAATTATTAAAAATTATAATGTCAATGTAAAATAAAATAGTAAATTAAACAAATATTAAATTAACAACTTCTTTTTAAATATTTAAAACAATATATTTTGTAATGAAATTCGTACTTAAAGAAGTTACAAAATAAATTTTGTTCATTTGAACGTTTAAAACTTTTGGCTCATTTTTTCAAAACAAGAAAAATAAATTAAAAATAATAATTATTTTTATTGTTATAAATTTCAGTTTATTTAATTTAATTCACGGTTTTTGATATATCACCTTATCTGTTTACTACTTTTTTTTTCTTTATTTTCATTTACGAGATAGGATTCCGATAAATCTACAAAGCATTGAAAGTTGAACTCTTTTGCGCCTGAACGCAACTGAAACATCGCCACTCCTTGAATTGAAATTGAAAATAAATTTAATGCTCCAGTATATATATGTATATAACTTTTTCATTGTTTTCAGAAAAAGGAAAATTGATCTTTCTCCGGCATAAAGTTGCGCGGCGCGAAATGATTGCCGCCAGAGTATTATAAAAGGAAATCGGATATTATTATTTTAGAGCACGATAGCTCGAAGCAGATGAACAATAAACATCCTGAGAGAGAGAGAAAGAAAGAACGGAAGGCCATAAACGTCAAAAGAATTATTATGTATGCACCTTTCTTTCTTTTTAAAGTAAAGGTCGCGCAAGCGGGTGAAAGGAGAGACGCTCTCATTTCGGCATATCTCAAACCTGAAGTCTTATTCCGTCAAAAATTGCGATTAATGAAAATTATTTATGTAATCGCTTATGGGAAATTTGTAAAAAAGTTTTTTATTTAATTGAGACAAATATATATATATATTTGGTTCTCGAATAAAAAATTTCTCTCGCTGTGTTTATTGAAGCGTGCCCCCATCATGATTGCAATATTCAATGTCAAATTGATCGTTCAGTGATTCGAAACTTCAATTATTGCAATTGCATCACTGCATATTGTCCTCATCCGTACACACTATCTTCATTTTGCAGATGAGGTTCAATCTAATCATCAAAATTAAATCTCTGTTGTTTCTTTTCAATTAGATGTATATATATATATATATTATGACATTCAACTATAGAATTTTTTTTCTCATTCTTTTTGTTGCAAGATTTTCTCTTTTACAGATTTTTTTCATGAAAATGGAGCAGTTTGCTTCCTTTTGCAATATATATATATATATATTTGTTGGAATAATTGTATATTCGCGCTTATATCTCGCTTGACTCTGTCAGTAGTTGCTCTTACGTCACAACCGTATGCGCACGCACTCCTTCCTACTTCTTGTTCTTGCTTCGACCGTGAACGTCTCGATCGTCAACGAGCTCCCAATAAACGACCGTATTTATCCTTATTTCCGTGTTATTTATTGACTACATCCTGCCCTAAATAAACTGCATGCCAACAGGTTATGGGCCCAGCAACGATTCGACTGCGCTGGATGTAGCATTCGGTAAGAATTGTCCAAAATTCTGTTGGTCGCGTTTGGCGTGCTCGCGGCGTCCTTGG